GTTCTAGAGTACCCTACTAATTTTACCCTACTAATTAAAGCTCTTATTGCTCATTTTGCAAATTTCGATTCTGTTTTGGGCAAATGAGCATACGCTACACAGCCGAATCTCTTAATCTTATCTAAGTGTGGTTTTATTTTCGGATTCAATTTGTTTAATGGCGTGTCAAATTTAAGTGTCTTATGTGGGGAACGATTCTACACATTAACAGCTGTTTCTGCTGCTAAGGCCCACATAGACTCAGGTAAGCCAGAATCAATCAACAAAGCTCTTATTTTCTGTTGTATTGTCTTATTGAATCTCTCGGCTGTACCATTCAGTTCTGGAGTGTACGGTGGTGCATAATCGCCCTCGATTTTCTCTTTCTTCATAACATCCGTAAATTCTCCTCCAGTAAACTCTCTTGCATTATCTGTCCTCAAGTAACAGATTTTCTCGTTTTTCCCTATTAAGTTTCTCGTGGTACTTATAAAGTTTTCCTAACTGCTGCCTGCTTCGCTCTTATTTTTGATAGCATATATTTTTGCAAATCTCGAGAAATCATCAACGAAAATTATAATGAATTGAAAGTTACCTGGGAATGAAGTTAAGTTAAATTTACCCATTATATCTACGTGTATAGTATGTAAAGGTCTATCTGCTAAAGTTCTCGTCTCTTTGTGTGGCAGTCTTTCCATTTTTGCAAATTTACATATTTCACAATCTAAAATGTTTTCATTAAATGTGATGTCTTTTAAATGCTCGTTTGAACTCTCTAGGTATCTTAAATATTGCAAATTGGGGTGTCCTAATCTAATGTGCCACAGCATTCCCTTATCTAATCTATCTACTTTAATTTCTGGGTTTAATTCAGTTACTTTTATTTTACTTAACTCTTCTAAATTTTCAAGTGAATCTAAATCCCAAATTTTCCTATTTATAGTTCTCGTGTCAATCTCAAAATCTGCAATTTCTATACTCTCTTTGATTTTACTCTTCTCTTTCTCCCTCCCAATCTCTGACAGTATCAAAACATTTGAGGTATTCTCGTTTTCTCCCTAGGACTCTTTTTCATTTAAAACTCCTGATATTGTCTGAGATTGTTCGGCAAAATCAGATCCTGTTATTATTTCTGCATTACAAGTGTATGCAGTGTACTTTGAGTTTGTTATATCTCTGTTTTTAACTATAAAATTTACCCTCCAATTTGGTTTCTCGTATTTTCTTACTAAATAATTTTCTCTTGTGACTTTATCGAAAATTTCTAATTTCTCGTTGTGTAAGTAAATACCTAAGCCTAGATCTGCAAAACGTCTTAAAGATATTAAATTTTCAGAAATATTTTCTGCAACTAATACGTTAGTTAATTTTATCCTACTTTTTTTTGTTTTTAAATACAAGTCTCCTACTCCGTCTATCTCAATATCTGCAGATTGATTTTTATTTGCACTTTTAATGACTCCGTTTGTGCATTTTCTAAAATTGCTTAAAATTAAACTCTTATTTACTATGTGTACAGTCGCCCCTGAATCCGCTAAAAATGATATTTTATTAAAATTATGAATTACATTTGAATCTTTACCTTTGTTTTTCTGTTGTTTCTCTTGTTCTGCGAGTGCTGTTTGTGCTGCTGCAAGTGCTACTTGTGTTAGCTTGTCGTTTCTTTTGGGGCCTCCTCTACCTCTTATAAATTCTACCTCTATTGTTACCTCTTTTTGCATTAAATTTCCCTCTGAAATTTCCTCTTTTATTTCCCTGGCCTCTAAATTTTCCCCTATTCATTCCTCCATTCATTCCTCTACCGCTCCCCCTATTCTCATTTTGATTAATATTTTGAAGTTTTACATACCCGGATTGCTCACGGTTCTGGCATCTTCCTCTTTTCTCGTGTATCATGTTACATTTGTAACAGATTCAGTGGCTTTCCGGTATGTTACAATCTCCTTCCCAATGGCCGAACACGCCGCATCTATGACATCGGCTGTTTTTTGGCCTTGCAGTATATGCTTGGGTCTCTCTTTTCTCGTGTGATTCGTCATCGTTACCTCTTGCTGCGTTTTTAAGAACCTCGATCTGCAATAGAAAGCTTTTAATCTCTCCTATACTAATTTCTCTTTTATTTGATTGTTGAAAAGAGATGCTGTGAGATGTAATCTCCGGCACCGCATCAGTAACAGCCTCAAAGAAAGCAGATCGTTTCTCTTCATCTGTCAGTTGGATTGCTCCTTCACAACCCTCGTATTCAGTTATTATATCTTCGAAACTACGGCAAAAGGATGTCACAGTTTCGCTCTTACTCATTTGTAGTTGATAGAGCCTCTTTGTGACAGATGTGTGAGTCACGTTGCTCTCTATTCTTATGTTTTCTAGTATTTTAGATAAAATTTCTTTGGGCTTTTTAATATGCATAACCTCTTTGTAAAATTTATCTTCAACCCTACCTTTTATAATTTCTCTTACTAATTCTTTTCTCTTTGTTCTCGTATTCTCGTTAAGATTGGGTGGCTTTTTGACTTTTTCGTCAATTACGGCAAGTAACTCTTTTGATGAAAGTTCAGAATTTAATTTGTCTAACCAAATATTAATGTCAGTCTTTGAGTTTAAAATGTATTTTCTATGTACGTTTGAACTATTATTATTTTTTGATTGGTCTATTGATTCTTTCAAGCTAACAAGGGATTCAGTTAATTTGTCCGTCTGAGTTGCATTTAAGGTTAAACTATTTGGACTGATTATTGACGTATTTAGGGTCGTTTCTAAAATATTGGATTGGTGAGCGGTAGAGTTATGAATTGAAGTTACCTTTTTATTCGCCTCCTCCAACTGTCTGTTCCTCATTTCTGAGGCCTCTCTTAAGGCGTTTGTTTCGGCCTTATTAAGGTCTAGAACCTCCTCGTATTTTCCTCTTATTTCTCTTTCTTTTTCTCTCATGACTCTTTCTTTTTCTTTCATTTCCTCTTCTTTTTCTTTTAGTTCCTCTCTCAATTTTGTTATTTCATCTTTTTCGGCTTTTTCTTTTAATTTCTTTGCGTTCTCGGCTCTTTTCTTTCCTTCTTCCTTTTCTTTTTCTATGTCAAATGATATCCCGGCTTTCGTCATGAGCTCTCCTAGTTTTCGACTCTCCGATGGAAGTGTTGATCCAGCTTTCTAAGCCTCAACGCTTACGTTGCTTTCGGGCTCAGACTTGCTATTCATAGCTTCAGTGTTTTGAGCTGAAGCCTCATCTTTTCCGTCATTCTATGTTATTTTTCTGAAAAATAAAATTTCATTTTCAATTTTTCCGAGGCTATTAACAAAATAATTTCTAACTATTTCAAATCGCACAGCAAATTCAAAATAATTTGTTAGAATTTGAATGAATTTCTCCCTCGCACTGTATATGCAATACGCACACTCTCCTACACATTTGTTTCCGAGCACAGCAAACGAAAACTTTCGAGGAGAGGCGTACACGCACGTGCAGCACACACTAGTTGCTTGCTCGAAAAACACCCGACACCGAACAAATGCTACGCTTGTACTACAAGTTTCGCACAAATTCGATGTATTTTGTTTTACTTTATTTTACTATTCTCTCATAACTCTTCTCTTCTCTTTGCTCTTTTTGTTGCTATTTATTTTGCAATGAAATAGCCTCTTATCTCTTCTCTTTTTATTTTCTTAGATTTATTATTCTGCTCAAATACTATAATTTTTAATAAACGGAATATTATAATCTACTGAATTATAACATCGAGTTTATTTTAGAAGCAATTCTACATTTTCTTTTTATCTCGTATTAACTATTTATTCCCGTTCTCTTTTAAAGAAAAAAAAAACTTGATCTATTTTTGCTATTTCCATTTATTTCTCTTATAAATAAGAGAAGAATAAAAAATTGTCTCTTGTTTTCTTTTAGTATGATTTCTAAAACAAAAATATACCAAGGAGGGAAAAAAATGAGCATAGAATTATTCCGAAGTAAGGAGGAAAAAAAATATTCACTTTCAAGTGAAAACCGAACAAAAATCTCTTCTCGGAATTCTACGCGTGCCTCGTGTTTCCTGCTCTAACCTAGCGCGTATATCTATATATGGTGTTTGCCGGTCGCAACCCGCGCGCCGGCTTCTATCTGTCACTTCGCGCCTATCTACCTATCATTCTCTTTTCTCTTTTGTTTCAAGTAGTTTCTTTCTCTTTCAACTCTTTCTCTCGTGATTTTCTTCGTGTTTTACTCGTTTAGTTTTTCTTTTTATTCACGCTTGAAACAAACTCTTTTTGTATCACACTTTCTTGGTGTGACTAACGAAACACTTTTATCCTAAATTTTTCGCCCTCACTAACACTTTTCACACTGCACTTTCGCACTAAACTCTTTATTCTCGTAAAAATTTGCACTCTACTTACATCTTTCTCCTCTCTGCTCTCGTGAAACTCGTCTTCAAAAACCAACCACCAAGCTCCGCGGGCTGGCCCGTAACCTTTTGGAATCACCCGGTCGTGGATGTGGTGGTTAGGGTTTATTAATTAATGACACAACACAGAATTTATATTAAACACAAAAAGGTTATCTATATTCTCTTATTAGTACAAATGTTAACTCGTGACTCTTTATGCGGTATCTCGGAAGACTCAAGATTCTCTTATACGATGTTGCTCCCGAAGCAGCATCAAGGCAACGAGGTGACGCCGCCGCTTCGCGCTGCTGGCTCTCTCGTGCCTCTCATGGGTGCCGCGCCCTGGCGCCTTCTACGGTGCTTTTAAAGCCTTCTTTCTCACACTGAGGAAATATTCAAAGTATTACACATACTTAAACATCGACGGCCTATTGTATACACATTGGAGGATCTTGTCGGTGAAACAATTACCGGTAGTTATTACGCTAAAGAATTACAAAAAGTAATAAAAGGGGAGCACGACATATTCCTTATAGATAAAATCATTGACTCAAAGCGAAAAGGTCGTAGTCGACAAGTGTTAGTGAAGTGGAATGGGTATCCCTCAAAGTTCAATTCTTGGATTTTAGCCGATAGCATAGAAACATGGAAGTAAATGAAAGTTTCTTTTTAACACTGTGTTTGAACAGTTCAATGTCTTACTATCCAGAAAACACAACAACAAGATTCACTACACAATTGCCTGATACCATTAATTTGAAAGGTGAATCGGAAGCAGCTCTAGTTGAAACTCAAATACCGATAACTTTCATTGCTATCAAAAATAGTCATGTAGGTCAAACCGATATGACGCCAGCGGTAGAAGAACTTCAAAAGCCTGAGAATACTAAGACTCTAAAGTGGGAGGGGGGGTTCAAAAAGGTGATGAACTTAAGAAAATGTCGCATTGTCATACAGAAAATATTGCTAAGGGTGATGGTATTAGGAAAAATCTCACGTCAATACATTTGTTACCTAGAGGAGAGTTTAAAAATATTCAGAACTCATCATAATCTATTAAAAAAGATAGTGTGCAAACGATGAAGCCTGAAACTAGGAGAGAGACTATCCATTTTTTTCATAGCGGTGAATATGAAAATATTAAGTCTATAACGGAACTGTTGGATGAGCTTTTTGGAGAACACATCAACATTGGGGTATTCAGGAATGAATGGCATGTGTTTATACCACGGTCTTGTATACAGGTCTGGGCACTTCCCTATCCTCACCACGTTGTAGCTCGTAACCGTAACGTGGACGGTTTTGCCCGCAAGCGCTAGTGTTGAAGAAGCCAGCTGAAACAGCGCATGCGTATCCTTAAATTCACTGCAACCTCTTATCTCCGATTCAAAAGGAAAGTTACACACAAAAAACCGATGCGATGCCAATTAAATAAAATGTAACAATCTAATTTTAAAGTTAGACAAATAAAGAATTGATGCTTTAAACTTAAGTTAAATGGATCTATTCACCTAAACGGCATGAAAATTGAATGATGCTATAATTGCGTATATACTGAAAACTTTTAACTTGATGAAAATACCTCTGGACAAGTACAAAATGTGAAATATCTACACAAGTAGAATTTTTTTCGTAGCTAAGTTCAATAGTATAAATATTTTTGTAAACCATAATATAGATGTGGAAACGCGCCTACGTCAGAAACGACGGAATGGCCACGCTGCGACGCGGCACATTCCACTCGCCAATATTATGGAAACAAAGGAGACACATCACCGACACCATGGCGAAATATAGAAACAATCCTTGGTTATTGTACCTCTAAAAATTCCATAATTAAGATATAAAAAGCGGACGGCCTGTCGGCACGTCAGAAGAAGTATAAGAGCTACGAGTGAAGCGTTACTACGGTAACTTAGTCGAAGTACTAACCTTCAGCCTCGTGATTTCGTACTCACCACGTTTACGGTTTATTTCTAATAGTGTATTCTAACGTAACTTGTTTTGTTTCAAATAAATCTTTTACTTGTTCTCGAGAGTTAAGTTCCAACTTTTTACTCGGGCAACGAATCCCAAAGTACCTGACTCCCGAAAACCCTTTCCGGCAGTCAAATCCGTGAACCCTGTATTTGAGCTCACAACAATATTTTCTCTCTTTTGCACTTGTTGAATTTATGTTGCATCATTATATGAAATTGGTTCCACAAGGCCCAATTCTCTTTGTAAAAAGACTTTCTCCGGTTTGAGTGTAGGAATTTCCAATGAAAAATCTTTCACAGAAGATATACTAAAGTATATAGTCAATTTTTGCTTGTGTCGTAACTTTTTTACTGAATTTAATTGTAACTCCTGTCCGATTTTCAAATGCAAATTGCTACCATTGTGATTCAAGCAGGCACGATGCACTTTCTGGTCATTCTTACTTCTTTCAATTGCAATCACGGTATGTTACACATTACAACGAGCAAAGCTGCAGATTACGTGTTCAAGAAAGAGATAACTACGCACGCGTAGTGCTACCACGTGATAGGCTTCTTCAACGCTAAAGCCTCTTGCGATAGTGTCCACCTTATCGTTACGCGTTTTTCGCCTAAGTGCTCAGACCTGTATACAAGACCGTGGTTTATACATAGAGTTTGCAAAAACTGTCCACAGACGCACATTCTAGAGTTTTCAAAAGATCTCAGCGAAATATTAGGATTTTCAATTTCAACATTCGTCTTAAGTCTTACAGGCATCAACTTTGTGAAAGCAGAGAACCCTGGCTGTATCACTCGAGGATTACCGGGTCAGCTCTTTATATATTCAGACATCATTCTCCCCCATGTGGTCAGCGATATTTATACTCCGCTCTTACGCATTGTCGAATGTGACGCTCAAACACATCCTTTTAGAAGTACTCAGTCTAAGACTTTCGCCATGCTTCATTAATGCCCCATAGTTGGTGGTCCAATTAAATCAATCGAAACTGTTATAAGCGATCACGCTGGTAGGCTAGTGCCATTTGAATACGATACCCTGACGGTTACATTACATTTTCGACGTCGTCACAACAATTGAAGACATTATGAACGCTTATGAGGAATATTACCTGAATCAGATAGGCGGTAGAGTAGACGTTGTATACGCTGGTGCTCCTTACCAAAGGAATCATGGTTTAGGATCGTTTATGGCTCGATTATTTAGACAGGCGTTGCTCCTGATTACTAAAAGAGTTAAAGCCGTAGGAAAAGAGGCTCTTCGCGCAGGACTTAAGGCCATTATACAATGCAATATAAGAACACGTAACACGGAAGAAATAAGCAATAAGACATTCAATTGTATACTTACCTAATTCCATTGGATACTCCAATCAAGAAGGAGAAAATCATTTTTAAAATCGAGCGTTTACTAAGTCTCTACGATTTTGGTGACGTCTTGGACATAGCAACGATACGATACGCGATTGTTAACAATTAATCGTAGAAGCTTAAATTTTCAATTTTCTCATCTGAAACTTTTCAAAAATCTTCCTGAGGTCTTGACGCACATGAATATATGTGCAGTTCTATGTTTCGAAAAACTTGATCGCTACGATTTTTCGATCGAAGTTTTGAGATTGAATTGTCAGCGAAGCGAGATGAGAAGTAAATAATTGGCAATAAGAAAAAGCTTTTCCGATCATGTAACAATACTGTTGTCATCGCTATAGTATCTTCTGTTTGAGGAAAAAAGAATCAAAGCGATCGATCAATTATTAACGAAATGGTCGCGAGTTAAATATAAAAAAATACTGATTTTCATAATTGTAGAAAAAACAAGTTTTTAATTTTTTTAAAAGAAAACTAACAGTCCTAGCTATATATATTCCAATGTAAAAAAATGTGTACCCAATCGAGCTGGACACGCTGGTATTTTTTGTAGAAGGAAATTTCAATTTTGGAAATTTACGGTAAGATTTCCGCGTTCGGAACGTATGGCGCTATGGAGGAGACTGAGTCCAAGCGTTGAACCTGTTATGAAATCCGGCCGCTCAATTAAGATAATTAAAAATAAAACGTGGGATTTTTATTGAAGATTATCTGTACATTGGCATAGATTTAGTGATTTTTATATTTGAATGACGTAAGTGTTTAAAAGAAAAAAAATGTTAGAAGTGAGACTCGAACAAACGAACCTGCGACTACTAGGTGCGAGCGCTACCGGTTGAGCTAAGTGGCCTGCTCGGATATTGTAACACATTTAGTGCACATAAAGCCCTCGCAAAACTTCAAAGTCGATTTTCTCAAGAATTTCTGAATATGGCATCGAACTGCTTTGGGAGATTACTATTCGAGTTCTCAGCTTTACGTACCATAAGTTTAAAAAATTACAAAAATCCGATTGCCGTGCCTTCCCCTGGTAAATTGTATAATTGATAAATAATTTACGCAATTCGGATACATTTTTGAACACCTCACAATTCATTAAATAATCTTTTAGAATCCTATATGTTTCTCAATAATATCTCAATACATGAGTCGATTCTAAAATATAACAAACACGGTCTTAAAAACCACTTCATCTTCTTCGGCAGCACGTCCCTATCCAGAACGCGATACAATGTATTTCAGAGATCAAATACTTAATCATTGCCGAGAAACTAATATTCGAACAAATTTTGAAACAGATCAAATCACAAAAATTGCAAATAAATATGTTCCACGGTCGACAACACTTTTACACGAACAAGTCCTTTGCCGATGATCGGAATATTATACCCTCGACGATCGCGAGTCTAATTGTGGGAAATTTCTTCCCCGTGTACACAGGCATAATCAACACGTACAAAACTCGGGGTATTACGAGATTTCGTCGCTGACAAAAACAAAAATCGCTTACTGAAAATTTCTAAGTCCCTTCGTTCAGGAAAATAGGCCCGTCAACGCGGCCTCAAATAACTTCCAGATTTTCCTTATACTTTTAAAATTCTCAAAAGAGAACAGCTCACAAAGCGAATCGCGTCATTGACAGTCCAGGCAAGAAGAGTTGGCGCTCTTCGCAATCGTAATCGGCAGCGCAGGAAACGACCACCCTCTGTCTTATCCGCAACCACTTGTAAATGGTCCTTCGGCCCCAATCAGTACTCTAAAGTCACAAACTCCGTAGCTCGTAGGTCCCTATTACGTAGGATGAGTAATAGCTCCTTGCTAGTAACTCCGTACACGTAAACAAATTCACGTCGCTCAGGTTATATTGTTATGCGTAGAGCAGGACATAGTTGCGAGTTCGGTCCTTTTCCCTCCCGCGTCGATCATCCCTCGCTGGTTCTTCTTGAGATTCGGTAAACACGCGAACACAATATTCGTGTCATGGGACATAGCAAAAATAAAACAACAGATTTATTATAGAAACAGAAAATTCTTAACAGTATTAGCTCTTAAGGTGGTACGTTCTTCCCTGGATTCTTTTATAAATTCACGTTTTTCCGCGTCCTATTACAGTCCCCGTCGAGGACCCGACGGTGTAAAATTTACCACGTCACACCGTTTAGTTTCATAGTATTCGAGTATAGTATTATACCACGTTAAAATGTTTTATGATTCCTTATAAAACTAAATTAAAATGAATTGAATCTTATATATATTGTTACGTCTCGGCCCTCCTATAAACGACATTCGTCGTAAAAAATCGGGGTTCTGATAATGTAAAGACATCCCAGGCTTCAATACACAAACTTGAAGGAGTACAATTTTTTTCATAATTTCGATTTAAAAAAACTGAACTCCTATAATTTTTTTATGTTAGGATTTAGGGATCTTTTAAATATGATCAGAATATCTTTACGCACGCTCAATCATATGTGGAATTGTGGATATATGTTTTATGAATTTTACTGCAAAGATAAATGCATAAATAAGAAGAATTGACAATAATAATCTACTTTATTTCAATTTTTTGAACACAAAAAAATCGAAATGTAAAAAAAGCTGAAGATTCTTTGTCTTTCGTACAATGAAGTGGTGTCTTCAAAAAGAATTAATTATCGAAACAATGTAGGAAAATATTGTAAACGAGCTATAAATTTTTAAGTAGTGTTTTCTTTTTCGCATCTGGGTGATTTTTCCGATATTCGCTGACGATATGCAGAATGAACTGCTTCCGTTGTTCGTCCCGTGTGAGAATTTCATTGTAATCAGTAAATAAATGAATTCCTCGTTCCACGACATCATTAATCACCTTGAGATGTTTTACAATTTTCAAATCGTGTGCGTAACTTTCATTTTGACTCCAAACAGACGGATCGAGCTTCAGAAATTCCTCATCAATTCCAAACCTTCGCAAAAAGTTCAGCGTTTGCGGAGAAACGAAATGCTCTATTTCTTTATCGCAGTAACCAACAATGTCTTTCAAATTGATTTGAATCCGTTTGGGGAAAAAGTCATCTATTTTGTCGTATGGACTCAGTTCCGATTTTTGTTTCAAGTTTTGATTTGCTCTGATTGGTCGCCACGTTTTTCAATTGGTTATATATACTGCGACGTATGTCGTTCATCGGCGTCGCCAACAAATAATCCGTGGCTGCTCCCAACGTGCTATAATCGAAGAAAAGATCCGAAGATCTAATTGTTGGGCGCCAGATGCGGCTTTCCCGTACCACTATCCCTCACCACGGCCGTTTACAAGTTTCCCGGCGGCTCAACCTCAGCGCACTGAAAATGGTAGAGGGGAACATGGGGGCGACGAGAGAGAATTTCGGAGTTAACGGATAGGCGCGCAAAATGATAAGACAGTGAGTAGGATACCGTTCCGTTTATTACCATCAAATAAACGGCGTATTTTACAATACAAATCCTGTCGCGTACAGTGGGTTCTCCAACGGCGGCTCACGACTATTCCGAGTCGTGATTTCTAGCCTGACCCAGACCTCTCCCTATCTCGGTGTCCCTACCGAATCCGCGAATCCCCTCGCGGCGCGATTCGCGATCCTAACAGGTCTCGTTGGAGACGAGCCTTTCCTTCCTCCGAAGTGTGCCCTCTGACGTCGGTAGCCACCTGAGGTATCCGTGTGTCCGCACCACTCCCGCTCAGCTATCTTTTCGCGCAAGATATTCTCTAAATAAGACCGCCCTCGCGGTACTTACCGAAAACTGGCTGTCGCATCAGTCCCGTACCAAATCCAAATCGTGGTGGCCGTGCCCCTTCCGCCTATCCCCGTGGTGCCGCATCCCGGCTCCACGAGGGTGTCCATCAAACACTCGAAATTTCACACACTCGGCCACGCACTGGCACTAGACCATACCAAAAAAAAAAAACCCGGGAACCATGGTTCTCTGCGAGAGATCCCGATAATCGCAATCCGCGATTATCCGATAGCTTTGCTATCGCCCGAGCACGGAAGAAGGACTCCTTTTCTCGTGGTCCGCCGGACACCCGTGTCCTTACACGCGGACTCCCCGCGACACACTCTCTATCTTACCTACCGCTATTCGCGGTAGGTCAAAAATCAAAACAAATCTCCTCTCCGACGCCCTCCCCGCGGACCCGCAAACCGTAGCCGTTCAAAGTTCCCGGGGTACCGGCAGTGCGTCTTGACGGTTGAGCACTTCTTGCATGCGGGCTCTCAATCCAAAAAAGCCACGTACCTCGAAGTCAAAGTTTTTTGGGATAAAGCTCGACTGCCGATTCAAAAAGAGAATCGTTGTATCGACAAATTATTGGTGATCTATCACGAATGGGCAGATTTACAAAAGCACAAGACACGACCTACGAATCGTCAAAAAGAAGAACATTTTTCTTCTCGACTTAAAAATTTATTCGACATTTCTCATGGAAACATCCTGAAAAATATTGACAAAACGAGAAGAACGTTTCTTGAAAATAAAAGACGAGATGGACGCGTAGGATACATCAACGATATCGAAGGATTTTTCGAAAGAATGGAAAGAAAAGAGGAACAACGGAACGAAGTTTTGTCGAGAAGACAGTCGAAAAGTCAAATGGATATTATATGGATATGATTTGATAGGTAGGTGACTAGGTGATAACTTTAGGTTTTTATTGACGTAAGGATAAAATCTTTTTAAAAATCAACAGTACGGAAGATGCTAAGATCATTGGTCTTGCATAGTAATAATAATGTCAAAAAATTATTAACAATTGTATAAAAAAAGCGATCTACAAATAACCAAGATACTTTTTTATTTCCATTTGAACCAAATTTTTTCTGAATGTGGCTTATCGCGAAATATTGAAATTTTGATCTAATTAAGCTTTTGATTGGTAACGTAAGTGTAAAACATTTTCAACTTTATCGCTTAATCCCTTCATTTTTTCATTGTTATGTTTCTTATTTCTTTAACTTCGTAAATACGAAATGATAATTTTATGTAGCATCATGTGAGTAATAACGTATCACGTACTAGTTTCCATCGTTGACGTTAAAATCGCTGGTTCTTATATGGATCTTATATTTCATTCATTACATCAAAATGATGATAATTCATTTCAGACAGTTTCGTCGAACTATCGTCGAGTGAAGGTCCTCCGTCCCCGACTCTAACTCAAAGAAGCATTGATGCATACTTGAATATTTCTTTCAATAGCGACATAGAAGAAGATGAAGCTGGATCACCTACTTGCAAAAGATCGCGCGGAAATGTCAATATATTTAATGACAAAGTTGTTACTGTCCTTGACAAATGTGAAGTGAGTGAAAGAGTTCCTGGAGTTGTGCCTCATCTTTATTGGATCTGTTCCATCTACTAAGGTTACGTTTATTTATCCTGGAGCATTCCATCATGCACGATGGATGGCAAAAGCTATATATTGCTTGAAACTATTCATGTTTCGAGACCAGTATCCGTTAATGGATGAAGAACGATTGGCAGTCCGCGACACATCGATATTTGTCGTGATAATGTACGTTGAAGCATGGTTCACTGTCCCACTTGCGTCTGTAGCGCCAGATAATGATTTACAATTTTTGAAGAACCTCTATAATTATAAATCGATTGACGAAGGTGTATCGAATGCCACTCTCAAAAAATTCAGGAAACACTTATAGTATCTGAATGCTGAAACCGTTGCCCTGGCATTTTTTGATGAAAATGTGTCATTTGATGTCAAGCGCAAGATGGTTTCGGAATTGAGTCCATACGGCGAAATAGATGACTTTTTCCCCAAACGGATTCAAATCAATTTGAAAGACATTGTTGGTTACTGCGATAAACAAATAGAGCATTTCGTATCTCCGCAAACGCTGAACTTTTTGCGAAGGTTTGGAATTGATGAAGAATTTCTGAAGCTCGATCCGTCTGTTTGGAGTCAAAATGAAAGTTACGCACACGATTTAAAAATTGTAAAACATCTCAAGGTGATTAATGATGTCGTGGAACGAGGAATTCATTTATTCACTGATTACAATGAAATTCTCACACGGGACGAACAACGGAAGCAGTTCATTCTGCATATCGTCAGCGAATATCGGAAAAATCACCCAGATGCGAAAAAGAAAACACTACTTAAAAATTTATAGCTCGTTTACAATATTTTCCTACATTGTTTCGATAATTAATTCTTTTTGAAGACACCACTTCATTGTACGAAAGAAAAAGAATCTTCAGCTTTTTTTACATTTCGATTTTTTTGTGTTCAGAAAATTGAAATAAAGTAGATTATTATTGTTAATTCTTCTTATTTATGCATTTATCTTTGCAGTAAAATTCATAAAACATACATCCACAATTCCACATATGATTGAGCGTGCGTAAAGATATTCTGATCATATTTAAAAGATCCCTAAATCCTAACATAAAAAATTATGAGTTCATTTTTTTAAATCGAAATTATGAAAAAAATTGTACTTCTTCAAGTTTGTATATTTAAGCTTGGGATGTCTTTACATTATCAGAACTCCGATTTTTTACCGTAAAAAAATATGACTAGCCAAAAATCATCAGTGCTACCCCCTTCCGAATATATTTTTATTTTAGATATACCGTTCCCTTTTTGTTTAATGATGATATTCCCATATACAATATTAAAAAAGGCAAAAAACATTGATAAACATATTTTCGATGCTGTTGAGAATCACTAGATAATTTGAAAAAGTAACATCATATCTATATGAGTCAATCCATAAAAAAAATTAGGGTAGGGGTGGTGGTAATTTGTTTTTCCTTGTTGTAGTACATTCGTAAAGTAATTTGTCTAAGTTTCAAATTTGTATACCGTTCATTAGTCCCAGAATAAAATATTGACTGTGAAGACCTGAAAATTCCATGTATTTTAAATGGGAAACTTCAACCGTCGCGGGGGGAAGGTAAATGTAAAACAAAAAATCTTAAAAAATTCAGGGATTATTTATTATTTATTTGGAAACGATTTGGGACCGGCACGAACGAAATTCGATCAGACACTACTTAACAACCACCCTAATATATGTATACATATTCCACACTTTATAACTCGGGCGGGAGAGGAACCTCAGCAGCCCCCTGCCTCAATATTAGCTCCCTATTGTCACAGAAGTAGCCTATATAGGCTACGCAGTTTGCGGGTGCATACGCGTGCATCACACACCGAGCGCAGTGTACATATATTCCCACACGCAGGTCTATTGCGGGGTCAATCTGCAGGTAGTGCACTACATGTTCTTTGTACCCGGCTCTGTCCTCGGCACTCTGCGTTCGCATGTATCCGTAGCATAGTTCCTCCTCCACGTCCCGAACATATAAGCACCCGAAAAAACACCGCCCTTCGTGGAAAGGAGCGAAGAAATCGTTGAACGGCAGCGGTATACCATCTAGCAGCGGCCCCTCAAACGGTCCCTCCAACCCCTCGGGCGGTGTATCCGACCTCCTTGGCGCCATAATCTGTAACATTTCAGTTTTTTAATAAATATGTTGAAATCAAATACAAAACCGTGTAGTCTTAAAATTATTACACTTACCGGTCCCGTAATATCCAGGTGACGATTACGTCTGGTAGCGCTATGCGTCCTTGCAGCGTCTAGAAATAAGCGTAAAAGGTGTCAGATATATAACATTTTTTAAATCAAATAAAAACCTGTGCAGGTTTAAAATTATTATACTTACAGCTCCGGTAACAGTCGGCTACAGCCAGAAGGGGACTGGTGCGGCTCGTCCATTTTTTTTGTAATGTCTAGAAATAAAAATCAAAGATCTCAGATACAAAATAAATTTTGTTTAATGTAATAAAAAAAAGTATACAAACTCAACACTGATATACATACCACTTTTCTAATATTTCTTGTTTTCTGCACTCTTTTTTTCTTTACTCGAATTAGCCTAGAAAACAGGGTAAACGCTAGATGAAATAAAGATGGTAGAAAGCGAAAACAAGAACTTTTTTTTACACCTACCGTAGGTGTTGTTTCCAGCTGCCACTTATCTTTTTTCTATCACCAATCTCTTCAATTTTATATCACCACTTTCTTGTTTGCGCCCTTCTGAATTGTCACCAATGTACTGACGAGATGCTGCGAAGACATCTCACAGGTAACCCTTTTTCCCCACCATAGCCCTAATTTTTTGCATAGTTGCAAATAAGAGATACATGTAGCAGTTTACGCTGCTAAGACAATAGTACCCCCATGCCGGATGTATTTGGCGCATCGTTTGCTAAATGATCCAAAAGAAGGATACCATCATTCCAACAGCTACGTGGTATGTAGAGGATTCACCCTGAGCAAAATATTAGGGGCTTGGATATCTACCCATCGATAGCTAAAAGTATCGAAAAAGTATCGACAATACGTATGATGCTTGTACAATATAAGGTATTTCTTACAAAAAAGAACCGTATTCTACTTTACCACGTTACCTCTTTAGGGTCATTAAAAAAAGTTACCGACAGGGGGTCAGTGCATAGTTGCCGACCGTGATATGCCCCTGGGGACATGCAACACCGCTGGGAATTTTCGGGCCTTAGGACCGCATGGAGGGGCATCGCCTCATGTCTGAGGGGTGGGGAGAGCCGGCTACATCGGCGAGGCGGGTGACGTCATTGTGCTGTGTGGGGGGTCAGAGCGCTGTGCGCTCCATCATTCATGGGGGACAGTGGTGGGGGTTCGTTGTGACGGCCAGGAGTGGCCTATAACTACTTGCATTATTCTTACCGACGGTACTAGACAAGTATATAAGTCGATCAATCGTCTAATATAATCAATTCTTATGATTTATACTTATTAGTTTACACTTTTGTTTTATTTTATATTCCGTTATATTGTTGGAATCTTCTTCATTCATCATTTATAGAACCGGAAAATGTTACGCTTATTATTCTATCAAGCATTATGTTCATAAAGAATTTGTCATACCAATCCTTTATTGTCTTGAAATAAAAGATAAACCTGAAGCTCCTCGAGACTAGCAGTATTCACGAGGTTTCAGGTACAGAATTGGAAGACTCAGGTATGCAACAACAGACAGATAATTGTTAGTGCTCTGATTTGTTAAGTAATCATTAAGAAAGGGAATCAAAGACCAATCAAATTCATGAGAAGTAATGGAAGGGATAAGAAACGAAGTCTTTAAAAAGGATTGGAGAGACTAAAAAGTGTTCTGTGGTAGAAGTGTGGCTCTGTTAAGTAGTCAAGTGGAAGTTTTGTAAAAGATGTTCAAAGTCTGAGTAGAAGTCAAAGTCGAAGCCTAGAGTTCTAGGAACTTGTAGTCTTTTCAATTTAGTTTTTCCAAGTTTATATAAAAGTGAAGCATACCTGGCGACTCTATTCTGCGAGTTTTGTGAATCATCATTATTACTATTATTTACAAAAACTTGCTACAACCTCATCTGGACTGAGGGTCCATCCAAACCACCTCATTGAATCGGTACTACTTCCATGGAAATCATAAAATAGGGAACAGTCGAATTCCCTGAAAATCATTGAGTAAGCCTATGAGTACACTCACATATAATCAGGTACACACAATAATTCATTCATACCCAGAATATTTAACTTACATAAAACGGATCAAGAATATCCGAGCAAAGAAACAATCAGTTCGTTCAGTCAAAATTCGTTCTAGTTTCATTAATCAGGATACCATATCAGACTCAAGGAACAATCTTCCTCATACCAATCGAGAAATCCTCTGGAATTTATTTCCTATTCCTTCCGAATCTTTATCTGCTGGAACAAATGTCATAACGCGTGGACGTACCGTTTAACACCGGCAAATCTGACCAATGAACCATCCTAACTACCTTTTCTAAATCAGCATTCACGGAATCTTTATAACTCTCAATCGCTCCGTTTTCATATCGAACGTAAGAACCTAACCATATTCCGCGTATTTAGAGAGCGATCGTAACAACATATAATCAACAATCAATTCTGCATTTTAACGAAACGTGATTGAAAAGCCCGATCGTAAATTTAGTCGAATTCTTTTTTATCTGTTTCTCTATTGGTTAGGGATCTGCTCCTAATAATTCGTTAAATTAAGGGGTCTATCCTAATTGGAATTTTCAAAAAATCGATTTTTTGTATTGCATTTTTCGAAAGTATACATATTTAAAAGTATCATACTAAAATTTTATAAAGATCCGAGCAGTCTAAATGTACTTTTGAGCGACGTTTACTTAGCTACCAGAGCGCGCTAATATACGCACCGCTCGGACCGGTACTACCTACCTGCCTTTGTATACATGAGGAGCTGCTACTTTTTGTAAATATACTATATACGAAACGAAGGCAGGCTATTTTGGATGAAAATGAGCACTATGAAGAAACTGAAGGCATAATGTATGGTGCAGGCATCGCTGATTAGACGTAAGTAAGATTTTTTCACGATTTTTCGTTAAAGAAAACTTTAAACGCGTTTTTCTCGAAATGACGTTTTTGGTCGGCTTGTTGATAAAATCTCCGAAAGTATTCAACCGACCCTTACCAAAATTTTACCACATGTTCTTTATGACTATAGCTATAGCGCATATCATACGAATTTTGAAACTTTTAGCGTAATTATTTTTGTTTGCAAAAAACGATGAAAAAAAACGTGCTTTTTTGTAGTTTTTGGAAAAATGGCCGCCATTTTGTTATTTAAAAAAAAATTAAAAATCGTATGATATGCGCTATAGCCATTTACCTACTGAATCTAAAACCATTTTTTCTTTTTCAGATCATCCATTCCAGAGATTTTATCAACAGCGCACACCCATCTTTTTTTTGGACCTGTCTTCTCCCCCACTTTTCTGTACGAAAACTGACTAAAATGAATATAAAAATTTTTTTTTGTGTATTTTTAAGAGTGTATTTTTTAGGTCTAACACTTTTTATATCCATATTTATAATTTATGCCGGTCAAAAAAATTCGTGAAAATAGCCTTTTTTTTGCCCGTCTAATTAGGGTAGACCCCTTAAGTGATTTAGAACTATTATAAGTCCTGATATTCCTGAAACATTCCTGACATGTAATCATTATTAATCATTATTACTACATCATTACTGCTTTGTGTTTGTTGGGAATGCATCGATTCTTATTGTATTTTTTTTAATACATAATATCTGTTTATGTTTAAAGGTCTCGCGTGATGGAACAACTACAAGCAGCTTTGTTCGAATTTATGTGAATTGGTCAAGTGTAGTGCAAGGTCCAGGACAGGCAATGAGAGCAAGAATTGCTGGCCGAGTAACACCAAGTTTAAATCGACCGTTACATACCTTGGAGATGATTGAACTTCCACTGGCATCGCAGCCAACAGCTTTGGCCTGTTGTCAATCTACGGGTAATCTCATAGTTGCTATGGGATTATACGCTATTTTACATGAATTTAAGGTTGAAACACAACAGCTATCTCGATTAAAGTTTATTGACTTCGAGGCACGACCATGGTCATTAGCCTTCAGTTTTTCTCCAACTGTAATGGAACTCGCGGAAGATTTTGTTACAGTTCAAGATTCTGAACATTTTATGGTGTTTCGTCTAATAAACACCATGCATGAAGATATTGATCAATTGAGTTCCGTTGCTTCGACTAATTTATCCTCTGTAGATAGAACTTTTACTCATTCACCGCTACTTGATAACACTGAAAATGCAGTAAACACTTCAACAGTTGGAATAGCTCATAAAATTACTTGCCTAATCGACGAGTATTGGAAAATCCCCAAAACAACCAATATTTCATTTATAAATTGGGATAAACTAAGTTATGAAGAGAAGGAAGAGAGCAATCGATTAATGAGCTTAGGCTTACTCCATTCTGAATGTCTAAACAGTACTATTAATTTTCCTACCATCGATTTGGAAAATGCGGGACCTACATACGGTTTAAATCATTTTATTCTTAATCCTTCTGATCTTGATGTCGTTATCAAAACGTCTTCACCTAATAATGGATGGTCAGAAAACTTTGCCGTGAAGAAACTTTTGCAAATTAAGATTTCTTATAATAATAATTCTCGGGTGAAAAATAATGGACAGTCGGAGTTCTTTACGTGTTCTGTAATGAAACCACTTTATCTAAAAAAGGAGTGTAATAATATTTCTTCCTTGAAGAAATGTATTCTGAAGTCTGATAATTATCGTCATTTTCATGGAGTAACCTGCGTCATCTGCACTACACAGGAAGGTGAGTTTTCACTTCTATATTGTTAATCAGTTTTTATTGTCCATCGATTATAATGAATATGTCGAAATCATGGTATGTGAAAGTAATTATAAATTAGCTTAAGGCCATTCTACAATGTACCGGAACACGTAACACGCAACATATAAGCGGCACGATATTCGATTGTATATTTATCTAATTTCATTGGTTTCTCCAATCAAGAAGGAGAAAATCGTTTTTAAAACCGAGCGTTTACTAAGTCTTTACGATTTTGGCGACGTTTCGGACATAGCAACGATACGGAAGCAGTTGCTAGGGTCGTTAAGGATTTCACGGAACACATAACGTGATGAGTAACATCGAGCATGCCCCGTTCCGTAATCCGTAACGATATGGTCATCATCCTGCTCAGAAATTACGGCTGATGCCCAGTTGTGTACAAACCCAATTGGACATAAATGCGAATTTCTGCCTCCTGAGTGATCTTCCATCAGTAATTCAACGATATTATAAGTTATCTTTATCTAACGGAACTTTTTCAAACATTTATGCTCTGTTCAGACGATATATTTATCCACTAATCTACCCAGCCTCCGCAATTTGAACACTCCACCCTATGCTAACCTTACCTAGCCAAATCTTGCGTAAACTAATGTAATACCACATACATAAAAGGCATCGTTTGTATGTAAGTCTATTCCATCTATTAAAAAGTGGACAGAATTTGCAGTGAAAAGTCATTTGTGTTCAATTGGTCTGTGCGCCAGAGCCCCCCCCCCTCCCCGCCGCGACTCGTGATACCCCCTGGCTCGACTGTTGATTTTAGGTCGTGCTTTCGTCCTACCCCCTGGGGAAGTGGTCGTGGAATATATCCCTATTTGTTACGTTGCCGAGGGGGC